GCAGGAACAACACCTCCTGCTGCCTGTCTGAGGTTCCCCTCTCCATCCCTGCTGTGCTGATACCTGCAGGATGCAACACAAAATCCCAGAATTGTTTAACTTGGAAGGGACCTTAAAGCTCATCTCATTCCACCTCATGCCATGGGCAGGGACAGCTTCCACTGGAACAGATTGCTCCAAGGCCCATCCAACCTGGCCTTGGACACTTCCAGGGATGGGGCAGCCACAAACATGGAGTAAACAACCATTCAAACCCCATCCCCTCTGGAGCCAGGCCCCTGCAGAGCCGGACACTCCTCTCTCCCAGGCTGGATGCTCCTCCCTCCAGGCACTCTGTTCAGCAAAAGTCACTGCGGGGTCGTGACACCCGTTACACAACCCGCTCATGAATATTGCAGCAGCTCTGGGCAGCCCGACTGGCCGGGCAGGTGCTGCATTGGGAAGCAGCAGAGGGAAAACCTCTCTGGAAAATCACTGGCACAGCCCCAGCCCGACACCGCCGGGGAGCCGCAGACCTCTGCGGCTGTGGGCAGTGCCAAGATGGGGAGGAAAAACACCAGGAAGAGGAGGGACATCCCAGTTGGAAGGACACCGAGAGGCCCTCACCGTCAGAGGCACCATCCTATGGAGGAACAGCTTCCAGGGCCTCTGGAAGCAGAGGCTCAGCCAAAAAGTTCTCTGGCTCCGGCCACGTCGCAGCATCCAAGGGGGAGAGGACACCTCCTGTGCTCTCCAGGCTCGTAAGAGCTGCTGCCAGTCAATAAAAAACAGCGAAGGGTTTGATAATGTGTGTGCCTGGAAAGACAAACAAACAGGGCTTAATGAAACCTTTATTTTAAAAATACGGTTTTTAATTTAAATGCAAATTGGGTGCTGTGGTAGCTGTAGGTCACTCACACTGACACACTGCTTAACTGGCAGGGATGAGGCTCGGGAAGCAACAGCACTAATGGCTGGCCCTTTCCTGGGCATTTATTTTAAGTTAATTAAAATTTTTCAGGACGGGATGGGTCCTGCTCTGCAGAACAGCTCTCACTCTGTTCGGCCAGTCCTTTCCCAAGCCCCACACGCTGCCAGGGATGCTCTCAGCAGGCTGTCAGCTATTAATGGAGCAGGGCACATTCATTTCTGCATCCTGAAATCCCCTTCGGCGAGTCACAAATCACAGCCCCCCGCTCCACAGATGCTCCTGCAACGTCCAGCATCAGAGATAAATCTGAGCAAGGACAGGGGAGGTTTCTCCAACTGCTGGGGTGAATTACATGGATAAGTCTTCAGAAGAGACGTTGAACCTGACCTGAAATCAAAGCTTCCAAGTGATGAGCAGAGCAGTTATCCCGAGTTACACGCGAGTTATGCGCAAGAGGATCTCGTTCAGAGAAGATCTGCCTTTGCCAAGAGAGATGAGCTGGAATGAGAGCCCTGATCCAAGAGAATTGAGCTGGAATCCAGAGCCCTCATTTAAGCGACATGAGAGCTCTGATCCCTGCTTCAGGGCTCTGGGAATGGAGCTTTAACCCTTCCCTTGGCCCAGCTCTGCCTCGTGTTGCTGTTGCCCACCACACACAGACCCTTTGAGAGAGAAACCCAGCATGAAACATCACCAGGAGACAGGAGGGCAGGGCAGGAGTGACCCTGGGGCAGTTCCTGTCAATAACTGCTCTGGATTCAATCCATGTGTCCCTCATGGAGCAAATCAATGGCAACTCATCGGGAGAAAACGAGATAAACAGTGGCCTTAATAGCGCTCCATTGCCCTCAGACAGCAACCCTGGCTGGGGCTGCCTCTGCCTCTGGCTGCAGGAGGAAAAGGCCCTTGAATGAAAGGACATGCTCCGAGGTTGTCCCTTCTCTGCTGTGCTGTTTCCTCCTGTTTCCATCCTGGCTGGCTCAGAGCAGAGAGAATGAACAGATCCAGCATCAGATGGGTCAGACACGGGAATCACGGAATCACAGAATCAGCTGGGTTGGAAGGGACCTCAGATCATCAAGTCAAACCCTTGATCCAACACCACCGTGGTTCCCAGCCCATGGCACTGATGCCACATCCAGTCTTATCTTAAAAACCTCCAGGGATGGAGAATCCACCCCTTCCCTGGGCAGCCCATTCCAATGGCTGATTACCCTTTCAGTAAAGAATTTCTTCCTAATATCCAACCTAAACCTCCCCTGGCACAGCTCAAGACCCAGCCCTCTTGTCTTGCTGAGAGTTGCCTGGGAAAAGAGACCAACCCCCCCCCGGCTCCCCCCTCCTGTCAGGGAGTTGCAGAGAGTGAGGAGGTCTCCCCTGAGCCTCCTCTTCTCCAGGCTGAACAGCCCCAGCTCCCTCAGCCTCTCCTCACAGCACTTGTGCTCCAGTCCCTTCCCCAGCCTCGTTGCTCTTCTCTGGAAGGAGAAGCAGATGGAGCCACATCGAGTGGTGGGAGCCCAGGGCCCTCTGGGGAGCTGCTTCCCTCCTCCCTCAGTGTCACCCACTCTTCTAAAGGGTGTTGGAACCCTGATCTCCAGTGCACAACAGGAGCTGACCACCCCTTTGCTCACCAGGGGATCCCCAGGGGAGCAGCCACAGCACATTGACATGCCCATCACTGCCCACCCTGTCAGACATCCCTGTGTGATCCATCCCATCCAGACCCAGAGATCCCACACACCCAAGTCTGCCTGGAGGCACCTGATGCTCTCCACCAGCTCCCCACTGCTGGTGTTCCCAGTTGGTTACTTCAGGGCAGCAGCCTTAAAAATTAGGATTTGGAGTTTACTTGTTCCCTAATACTCCTGTCTGACCATGAATGCCTGTTTCATTCTGAAACAGGATCCTGTGTCTCTTCCACCTTCCTACATGTGGGGAACAGCAGCCTGGAGCTCAGGGGCTCCCAGTGCAGGAGCTGTGGCTGCCTTGGGATTGGAGTCCAAAACCTCTAAGGCTGAGGGTTCCACAGACCCAAGGATTGTCTTCTCCTGCCATCTCACCTATTTGCTTAAGCCCAGACCTAAAGGAACTTGGGGCTCAATTTGGCAGAAGGTGAAGCTGTTGGCCCAAAAATGAGGGGGCAACTTTTCCAAGATCCAGGGATAGATGGGGCTGCTCCCAGGGGGAGCTGCATCCAGCCCCTGCCCACCACGCCATTCCCATCAGCTCCCTCACTCCGTGGTGCCCAGGCTCCCATCCAGGCACGTGTGTGGGGCAGCTGCTCATGGCACCAACCACCACTCCTGAGACTGGAGACTCATCCAAAGGGGCCACAGAACTCCTGCAGGAGAGAAGGAGGGAGGAGAACCTGGCAGGCAGGAGGGAAGGTGCTTTAATGAAGCATCATTAAACCACTGAAGGATTAAAGAGAGGAAGGGATAGGATGCTCCACAAAAACTCAGTCATTAGTGAAGCCCGAGGGTAGATGCAATTGTTTTTTTGGATTTTTTCCCTCTCTTTGATGACCCAGTTTTTTAGTCCCATCAGCACCAGGCTTGTGTTAATTTTTAAATATGCTTGGGTAACTGAGAACATTAACTATTCATGATCTTATCTGCAATAGCTGTTGGCTCTGACACTGTGCCAGGGAGAGCTGAACTTACCAGGGAAGGCAATAGCAGGTTTTTCCTGAGCATCTTGTTGACATGATCACAGGATGGGGTGGGGTTCCACAACACTCCTGGATAAATCAAGGCTTGTGGGGCAGGCTTGGATCATGGAGGCCATTCCCTTGCAATTGTGGTGGCTTGCAAAGACATAAGAGCACACAAAAACCTGGGATGTGGGGAATGCTGCGGACAATCTGTGAATGTTTCAGCTCCAGGGAAACCCCAACACGGTTTATAAATATGAGGGGAGCCTCCTGAGCTGCTGTGAGGTGGTGAGCTGGCTCTGCTGTGCCCTGCTCAGCCAGGTACTGCCCCAGTCCAGGCAGAGGCTGGAAGGATCCCTGGTTATCAGGAATGTGAACTCCTAAATCATTGAATCACAGAATGGTTTGGGTTGGAAGGGACCTTAAAACTCATCTCGTTCCACCCCCTGCCATGGGCAGGGACACCTTCCACTAGCCCAGGTTACTCCAAGCCCTGTCCAACCTGGCCTTGGACACTTCCAGGGCTGGGGCAGCCACAGCTTCTCTGGGCAACCTGTGCCAGGGCCTCCCCACTCTCACAGGGAGGAATTTCTTCCCAATATCTAATCTAAACCTGCCCTCCTTCAGTTTAAGGCCGTTCCAGCCTGTCCTGTCACTACCTGCCCTTGTGCAAAGTCCCCCTCCAGAACAAACACAGAAGTCACAGCCAGGGCAGGTGACAAGGCACACACAGCTCTGGGGAGCCCTTGCCCTGGGTGCCAATGTCACTGTCAGCAAGAACAGGGGACGAGGCAGCTGCAGGAGCTCGGGTTAACCTGGGAGAGGTACATGATGCTGAGAGCTGTGAACAGGATTAACAGTGAAAAACAGAGCACAGGAGAGCAAAGGTGATTAATTATCAGAACATCAACCAGCAGAAGAATGCAGTGAGAGAGAGTGTTATTCAAAGGGACAAAAAACTCACATTGGTTTTGAGGAAGGATGGAATCTGGAGGCACCTCCTGCAGCAGGTACCTGCAAGATGCTCTCACCAACTCATGCTGACAGTTTGTTGCTGGAAAGAAAAATCTCCTTGGTACTTCAGAGGATCCAAGTGGCAGGAAGGCAGCACTGGAAGCACAGGAGGACAGTGTTGGGAACACACTGATCCACGAGGCTCCTGGCCCAGAGTCCACAGCACTGTGGGAGAACCCCCCTACGTTTTCCAAAGGGGTACAGGTGCTTCCTGCAGGAAAACTGAAATGAGAATCACAGAATCAGTAAATGGTTGAGGTGGAAGAACCCTCTGGAAGTCACCTTGCCCAGCCCTCAGAGCCAGATTCCCAGGACCACATCCAGACAGCAAAGTTTACTCTAATTTTTCCCCCCCTATGAAAATTAAATATCATAGATCAAGATTTAATTATTCTATCTGCAAACTAAGAGTCACACTGGATGCTCAGTGTATACAGCATTTTATTGAATGGATGTATATTACAATAGACAAACATATATTACACATGCTATACAAAATATACATTCTTATGTGAAAAAAATATAAATAGACACTAGGAAATAGCAACAGGGAACAGGAGCAGCTTTGCTCTTGCTGCCTCTGAACCCCCAGTTCCTGTACCGGTAGTGCTTTGGCATTGATTGAAGAAACTGCTTGTTTTTACTGAAAAAAGAAAGGCCACTCAGTCCCCTCTGCACCCCTGGAGCAAAGGGAGAGAAGAGACACATGATTTGAATCCAAGTCTACCAAGGAAGCTTTTCCACAGTGCAGCAAAGTGACACCTACTTACAATCATCAGCTATTTACAACCAGCTTATGGACTTTAAATGCTCATGGAAGGCTGTAAATGTCCTGACTCACGGAGGCAGCTTTTCCAGGCCCCTCTCTCACAGAAATCAGAGCAGCTTTAGCTCCTCAGAGGCTCCAAGAGCCAGCACTGGCCTGGTGCAGACAGCAGTGATTTTAAAGCCTTGGTCCTGGCCAAGCAGGTCTCACCTCCCTAACGGGAATTCCCTCGCTCCAGGGAGTTGTGCCCCAGGTATTCCCAAGGTTTGGACATCCCCAGCCGCACTGGGACAGACCTGAGTGAGCTCAGCTGCTTGGAGGAGAGAGAGGGATGAAAGAAAAAGGAGCAAGTGTCTCCCAAATGGTGATGGGAGACAGAGCAGCAGCTGGGATGCTGTTTTCCCACTCTTGGGAATCACACATTCCAGCAGCACCCTGCAGAGAGCAGCCCAGGAGGATGGGGCTTTGCTGCTGCTGTGGTTTCATGACGTGACCTTTCTCATCTGGATTTGAAATGACAGTACTGGGTTCCCACAGCAGGGATCACTTTGGATTGAGAATAAGCACCGTGTCTTAAATGCTGTCTGGGAAGGAAAAGCCTGGAGGAAATAAAACCAGAAAGGAGCGAACTCAAGATTCTTTTTTTTTATGTTATTAAAACATTTCAGCTGTCAGAACCCAAAAATTAACACACTTGTGTGTTTCTACTTTACCCAAAGGTCAAGGACAATTGGATGCTCTTCCCACTAAAGCTGCTATCAAAGCAGCCACGCTGGCTTTGAGAGCATGGGAAGAGCCCTTGATAATATTTGCTCATTTGCACAGATCTGACTATTATTCATGTCCAAAGAGCCGTGGGAAAAGAATCATTAGTCCCAGTGTTTCCTCACTCATTTACTCAAATACTCCACAGCCTGTAAAGTCTGAGCTGTGATTCTGCACGACTGCACCTCACACTTAGTCACACACCCTCCACTCTAGGGATGGATCGATGGGAAGTCCCACGTACCTGTCATGGGCCGGGCCAAAAGGGGTTTTCTGTCTCTACAAAAATACCACACAGCTGGTTTTAGTTGGGTACAAATCCTACAGCTCCAAAAAAAAGGCATCAGTGACCAGGAAGGCCACCTCGCTCTTCAGGTGTGAGCACAGAGCACACGCTGAGCACAAAGTACCTGCTGAAAACCCATCCCTGAGGAGTCTTTAACCCCTTCTACACGACAGGACACTCTCCCAGGAGAAAGAACTTCTCAGTCTTTACAGTGTTCTTCCTCCTAATTTTGTCAGGCACATCCCACTGGAACCACGAAGTTTGCACTTCCTCTGTCTCAGGGTTTTCAGTGTTGAGTGGTTCCCTGCATTGTTTCATTTCCCACCTGTCAAATATTTAAACATTTTGGCCACACTGAGGTCTAAGGCCACGCTGAGTTCAACAATTTAGCCTGATATTTTACAACAGAAAAAGACACGAGTGTTTTATGCCTTTGGCTGTGCAGAGGAAACAGGAAACCCACAGTATAGTTCACTAAGTATTTATCAAGTGCTCTCACAATTTACCTGATCCTTTCCATCATCACTTTCTTTCTAAAAGTTCACTTAACTGTCAGCTTTGAAAAATACATGGAGACCTCTCAACATACACAATATGAAGGGGGGTTTTTTAAAGGTAAAAGATTAGATAAAACTTGGAATTCTGCTAATATCACGAAATGCATCAGCTTGCAGCCAGGCTTAATGCACACAGAGTTGTAGGCAACAATGAAATGCATCAATATCACAGTTTCACCACATATCTATAAGTAAATTCACTCCTTTCCAAAACAAAGACAGCTCTATCCCCTCACAAACAAGCTTTCAGTCCCCCCAAAACCTCCCATATGGCTTGATATGCAGCTGTCAAGACTAACAGTATGATACATACTTTGGCATAATAAAAAATATATTTACATTACAGCCAACACATTTATATGCTTAGTGTATACAAAATATTTATAAATGCAAATTTATTTACAATTAGAGTCCATTATTCATTGGAGAAAACAAGGCCCAAACTCAGACTGGTAACAGGCACCTGCCAACAGTCTAAGGAAGGAAAAGCTGGCCGAGAGTTTTATGCTTACAGTTCCTGGGGAATTCCATGAGGAGGCCCTGATGGTTTGTTTCCAAGCAGACAAAGCACTGTGAAATAGCTACACACATTCTTGAGAGCTTTCCAAGGCATGCACCAACACAAAGGCTGCTTCCAGCACCACACAATCCATGCTTTAATGCTATTTTTTGCAGACAGCACCGATCACCCACGTGTTCTCCGGTGCACGTTCCAACCTCCCAAAAGAGAAATCCAAGGAAAAAGGGCACGTGAAGAAGAGACTCCAAGAAGAGTCTCTTTAGTAACTGCAGACACACACACAACACGAGAATCTTTGGCCTTGGGGTTAGTCCTGAGGTAGAAAATACAGTCAGTTGATGTGGATTCGCTCGTGAGGCCCCCTCTGAGGCCTTACGTGGCTTCGCTGTGGCCGTGACTGTTCCGTGTCCTGGTAAAGTCCAGGCCGTGCTCGCGGGGCCTGTGGCAGGAGGGCCTGGGCGAGCCCTGGGCCTGGTCCCGCTCGCCCTCGGCGGCTCCGTCGCTCCGGAGGGGCCGTGGGGGGTGCAGGAAATGGGGGTGAGGGTGAGCCAGGTCTTTGCTGACCCCCCACAGAGGGACCTGGAAGGGCTCTGAGGAAGGAAAATCAGAAGGTGAACAGGAGCGAGTTCATACAGTCACAGAATGTGCTGAGCTGGAAGGGACCCACAGGGATCATCCAGTCCAAACCCCATCATCCAACCCCAAATCCCACCTTGTCCCTGTCTCCAAACACTCCTGGAGCTCTGGTAGCTTTCAGGCCATGCCCACTGCCCTGGGGAGCCTGTTCAGTGCCCAACCACCCTCTGGGGGAAGAACCTTTTCCTAATATCCAGCCTAACCCGCCCCTGACACGGCTCCAGCCATTCCCTGGGGTCCTGTCCCTGGTCACAGAGAGCAGAGATCAATCACACTCAGATTTTAGGCAGGTTTGAGCTGTGTGACTCAGCAGTAACAATCGTTTTGAGGTTATTTTTGCTGGTTCTGAGACCATATTTTGCTGGATGCTCTCCCTTTCCAGCAATCTGTTCCAGTAACCAGAAACACACACAGTTTCAGTGTGAATTTTTTAAAAGGCGATCTGGAAGAAAGTCAACTGAAAACCAACCAATTTAGGGAGTTCTTTGAACCTCAGGCCAGCTCAAGCAGAAGGGCTATTTGAATTTCTCAAGTGAAGCTCCAACTTTTGGTTAATAGATGTCCTTGAAGTACATTCAAAGGCTCACATTCCATGAAGTTTGAGAGCTGAACTGCAGAAATTCTGTATTTTTAACATCACCCTCTTCAATCTCAGGTAGTGGATGCAAACTGAGAGCTAGTCTGGAGATCAGGTGGTTAATAAAAAGTTACTCCACAGACTACAGGCACTTGAAGGATTAGCTGTGTGTCAACAGGGAAGGGCAGCACAAGGGAAGCCAAAGGAACACAAAGCAACAAAAGGAAAAGGGGACACTCACCATTAATCTGCTGGGAGGAGGTTTTCTTTTCACCGATTTTGTCGTGGTTGGTAAGGAAGACAGGCACGTCTCTGTCTGCTAGGAGATTATCCAGAGCACTGGTTTCGTGCTGAGTGCGTGCTGTGTATGCTTCCTTGGGCATCTGCACCATGAGGTTGGGGAGTGTTTGATCCAGGGGATCCTCCTCGGAGATGAAGGCATAGGGACAGTACTCTCGGGTGCGGGAGTAGATGTTTGCGTTGTCGTAACAGTCTGAGCAGATCACCAGTGGTGCTGCCCCACCTGAGGAACACGATGGAAAGAACAAAATACTCTCAAAAAGGACGAGGGTGCCTGATTTCCATAGGTTTTATGTCCTGGTGTGATCAAGGGTAACAGCAGCAGAGTTTGAAGGGCCTTTATACAGTTCAGGCTTGAGAGGTCACGTGAGAAATCCCCAGGCTCTCCTCACCCAAATTGTCCACAGCATTGCCCTTCTGAGGGTGACCAGGGGAAACCATGGACATGCTCCCCTATTGCACAAGTAAAAGGGTTCCCTGCAAGTCCAGCCAGACCGGGAACCAGGCTGAAACAGCCCTGGGATCAAACAGGGATACCTGTTACCTGTTCACACCTGCTCCTGGACCTGACTCGTCCCTCCATGCCCACACACCTCAGACCTGATGACAAACTGGTCACTGAGATGAGCTGCTTCTCAGCTCCTTCCTGACACAGGCTCTAGGGCAGTGGGACTACACTAGAGGGAATGGATCATAAGGCAGGTGTGAAAAACTCTGAGGGATCACTTTTCAAGCCAGTCTACATAAAGACTGATGGCTCCTCAGCATCTGGATGGTAAAAAATAGCATCTCTGTAAACTCAATGACAAAAATATCCTGAAAAGTGTCCCAACAAGACAGGGAATAGTGCAGACCCTTTATATATATAATAGTGCAGCCAAGTGGATGTCTGGAGAGGCAGGAATTTGACACCAAGAGGTACAGCAAGTCGTCATCCCAGCAAACTCTATTTCCACCTCTATAGCCTGGGCTCTTGAGATGCCAAAGGAAAGAAGCAGGATCAAAAATCTACCTTGGCATTTAACCTGTGAGGACAAGACTGTGCCCTGGCATCAGCTGAGGCCCAGGTAACACACCTGAGGGCTCTGCTTACCATCTGTGCCTTTGTGCACATAGCTGCCAGCTGGAGGCATCAGCTGCTGATGGCTCCCTGCCTCTGAGTTGCTGTAGCCTTCCTGAGGCTCTGACAGCGTTCCTTGGGAGGACAGGTAGCTGGGAATGTCGGCAGGAAGGTTCATCTCCTCTGCAAGGCAGAATTAACACCGATGACATCAACAGCATGAAGATTTCAAGGTATTACCAGCACCGTTCCCCAAATTAACAAGAACAACCAGAATTTCAATTCACATGTAGATACCTTCTTTCCTACCTAGTTATCTTTTTTCCTACATCAGTGATTAAAAATCCACACAGCCCTTTCCAAACTTACAGGGAATGGAAATTTACACACATTATTCCAGGTCCTGAAAATCTTTTTAAGTTCAGTCAAATATTTACTTGCAAACTTTACTGTTTTCCCTCAATGTAGGGCAAATCTAGAATATAAGGAGTAGAATTAGCACACTTTTGGTATTTAAAAGAACCTCTAAAATGGAAGGAATTTGAGCAAATCCCTGAAGAGATTTGAGAAGGAAATCTTCGGTTCTTTAATCTTATCCATTTGTAATGAATCCAGAAATTTCAAGTGTTTTGGATTAAAAACGGGGCCAAAGACTGTTGCTTTTTGCAACTTTACCTGTGTTAGTGATGCTGTAATCCTCGTTCCTCCTCCTCATGTGGTAGATGACGATGACCCACACCAGGGACGTCCCCACCACGCAGCACACGACGACGATGATCACGATGCCCACGGTTGTCCAGCCGTCCTCCTCGTGGACGATGCCACTCTGGGAAGAGTCACAGTTGGGGGAAGCCAGGACATTGAGGTAAATGTGGCCACGCTCGGTGCCCAGGGTGTTGGACATGATGCAGGTGTACTTCCCAGCGTCCTCCAGCCCAGCATCCACGATGATGAGCAGCTGGTTTGCCGCGGCGAAGAAATGCCGCTCTGTGACGGCGAGGGGCCCGTCGTCCTTGGTCCAGTTGAGGCGAGGGGCAGGGCTGCCCCCAGCTATGCACTGCAGGACAGCAGTCTCACCTCGGGTCACCGTCCTGTCCTCCAGGGGCCTCACGAAGGAAGGAGTTTCTGGGATAGTGGAGGGAAAAAATTCAACTGTAAGATAATTTCATAGAATCACAGAATGGTTTGGGTTGGAAGGCACCTTAAAGATCATCTGGTTCCGCCCCCTGCCATGGACAGGGACACCTTCCACTAGCCCAGGTTGCTCCAAGCCTTGTCCAACCTGGCCTTGGACACTTCCAGGGATGGGGCAGCCACAGCTTCTCTGGGCAACCTGTGCCAGGGCATCACCACCCTCAAAGGGAAGAATTTCTTCCTAATATCCCATCTAACCCTGCCCTCTGAGACCTCCCTGCAGATAGTGGATGAGGTTCCTTCTCAGCCATCTTCTCTCGAGGCCAAACAGGCCCAGCTACCTGAGCCTTTCATGGCTGGAAAAGACCTCTGAGATCATCGATTCCAGCTGTTCACCATCTCCTTCTAAAAGAGATGCTCCAGTCCCTTCATCATCTTTGTTGCCCTGTGCTGGACCCACTCCAGAAGCTCCATATCTCTCTTGTCCAGAGGAGCCCAGAACTGGACACAGCACTCCAGATGCACCTCACTAGGGACGAGGAGAGAGGTAGAATCACCTCCCTGACCTGCTGGCAATGGTCTTCCCAATGCACCCAGGATCCCACTGGCCTTCTTGGCCTCAAGTTCGCGTTACCTGCAACTAAATTTGCTCTAAGGCAACGCAAATTACCTGCCTGATCTTCACTGCTGGACTGAGATACGCCCCTCAGACCCCTGCAAAGATCACAAGAACTCCAGCTCCACTGGCCAGCCCTGTAGCTCAGCTTCTAAAGTCACACCAAGTGCTGCTCTTTGTATTTTAACCTCATTTTCTGGGCTTTCGTTACCCCTGCAGACACACAGGGATCCATGTGCTGGCATGGGTCAGCACAGGACTCACCCAGCACGGTGAGGGTGGCGTTGGCTGACAGTCCCCCCGCGATGTTCTGGGCCATGCAGCTGTAGATCCCCATGTCCTCCATCTTCACATTTGCAATGAAGAACACGTCGTCCTCAGGCATGACGTGCATCCTCCTCTCCCTGGCAGCTGGGAAGTCTGTGCCCCCGTCCTTCTGCCAGGAGATCTGTGGGGTGGGGTGGCCCTCGGCAGCACATTCCAGCCGGGCCATCGCCCCGGTGCGGATGGTGAGATCCATGGGGGTTTTCAGGAAAGAAGGGAGCTCTGGATCAAAGGAGACAGAGTTTCAGGTAAAAAGCAGCCAAAAGTCCACAGCAGAGAGAAAATCTGGAAACGTGCACATCTGGAACACACCTGAAGTTGTCCCTGAGGGAGAGGGGCAGATTCTTCTGAAGAACTGTACAAATTTTCAGAGGTCACTTCTAAGAGCCTGTGCTCCAAATTTAAACACAGTATCTACAGTGTTCACAGAATGATGGAATGGTTTGGGTTGGAAGGGACCTTTTTAAAGCTCATCCAGTTCCACCCCCCTGCCATGGGCAGGGACACCTTCCACTAGCCCAGGTTGCTTCAAGCCCCATCCAACCTGGCCTTGGACACTTCCAGGGATGGGGCAACCACAGCTTCTCTGGGCAACCTGTGCCAGGGCCTCACCACCCTCATATGGAATTTCTTCCTAATATCCAATCTAAACCTACTCTCTTTCAGTTTAAAGCCATTAATTTCATTTCAGATGATGTGAAGAACAAGATTTCTCATGGGGAACAGACAGGGAAAAGGTTTAGCCTCCTTCCTAAAACCTCTGTCACACTTTTTTTTCCCCTGATAACAGAAAAGGTCAACATGCATCTCATTATTTCTCCTCTCAGGTACCATGGGTATCAGTAGCCTGCTGACTGCTGTGGACATTGACTTCTCACCTCCCTTCCCTCGAGGCAAAATAAACAGAATCCTGACTGCTAAAAATAAAAAAAGACTTCACTTTTCACTTTCCAGAGTGTTTCCAGTCCCACCACTTATTTTCAGCTGAGTCTTCCCCAGTTTTACAAACATGTGGGAAAGGTGCTGAGTTCTGAGGAGACAGCAGAGGGAGCTTTCAGTTTAAAGAATTCCACCTCCAATTAACTGGATGAACAACTAATTGTCTTCTAATAAAGCACGGGAGGCAGCTGCCGCTTTCAAAAAGCAAACGGAGGCTTTTCACCCACAAAAATAAAAAAATCACCCAAAACATTTGTTTCCTGCTTTACAAAAAGATGTTTGATATTTCTAAATCTCAGTTAGACAGACTTGCAAGAGTATTTTGGGCCGGCTCTAGTGAAAAATAGACTTGCAGCTATTCAAATAAAGACTCAGGTCACTCACCATTGACAGTCAGCTTGGCTTTGTTGGAGTAGTTGGAGCCGAAGTGGTTGGTGACAATGCACTGGTACTTCCCCTCGTCAGTGAAGTTCACGTTGAAGAGGTGCAGGACCGTGGTGTATTCCAGCACCTCAGCACTCTGCTGCTGGTACCTGGCAAAGTTCTCCACCTCTGCATCGTAGAGGACCTCGCTGTCCTTGCGCCAGGCCGTGGCCATGGGGGAGTCGCTGCTGCTCACGGCGCTGCACGTCAGCGTCACGTTCATGCCCCGCAGGGCCACAGTGGTCTCGGGGTGAACCCTGATCTGCGGCTTCGGGAAGTTGTCTGAAAAGAAAACCACCCAGATCAGCTCCTGCTTTCCCCTTCGACTCGAGTTAATACTGTGGGGAAAACTCGCTCAACGTAAGCAGAAAGGAAGTTTTGGGAAGAGATGTCCGGCTGGAGGTGTGCAGATTCGGCTGCTTCCAGCTGGAAATGAAGCTGGGAAGGAGGGTTAGAACCACAGGTAGGCAGAAGAATCAGCACTGGGAACAATCAGTGTGCAAACGTGGTGCTGAGCAGCCCAGCTGTCTGGAACTTGCTATATTTAGCTCACACCCAAAAGCCCTGCTCAGCTCAAGAGCCAGGCTATTTTATGAAGGGCCGAGACTTACTTTCAGATATTTTAAATATCCTGAAGAGCCTTTAAGTTCTACAAGTATAAAGCATAACAAGCTGGCAGCTCACTATCTCATCCCACTCAATGAGAGTGACTTCAATACTCATTATTTCAGCAGAGACTCTCACAGGCACACACAGAGTTCTGTCAGGCACCACAGTGGTGATGTTGGAGTGGAGAAGAGGGTGCTTGCATCTATACATGATGATTACTGTAGCCTCTATTACCAGAGCAGTAAAGGAATTGCATACACTCAAGTAACCTCTATCAGACTGCTCACCCAGAAAAGGGAACACCAGACTAACTCCAGGCCTGCCAGAGACTTCATCCAGGACTCTGGGTGAAGAGTCTCTCAGTTCTTCAGCTCACAGTTCAGTCAGAAAAATAAACAGGCTTATGTCTGAAACTGTGGTGGCAGAAACTGGATAAACATCCCAGATATGGAGCACCAGGAAGTGCACCAGGGTGTGAACTACTCTAATTGTTGCCCAGAGAAGCTGTGGTTGCCCCATCCCTGGAAGTGTCCAAGGCCAGGTTGGACGGGGCTTGGAGCAACCTGGGATAGTGGAAGGTGTTCCTGCCCATGGCAGGGGGTGGGACTGGGTGATCTTTAAGGTCCCTTCCAACCCAAACCCTTCCATGACTCTTTGATACTCCAGCCTTGCTGGTATGGACAAGAACCAGGAAGGAAGTGTCAAACAGCTCATGGCATTCAAGAGCAGGGAGAATGGAAGCATAACTGCTTTTTAATAGCAACCTAAATAAAAAACAATGCAGTCTCACAGCACTGCTCCCTCAGGTTGGCTTCAGTGCTCAAACACCACAAAACAGAGCAAAGAGAAGTAGAATGAAACCCCAAACTGATGTACACAGGCCCACATGTGCACCAAAGCCAAAACCAAGCACCTCCACAGCACCACAGCCTGATTTCAGCTGCACAGACTCACATCACCACGCTTTTATACCAAATTAAAAATATGCTTTTATACCAAATAAACTTTTCTACCAGTTAAAAATACAAACCACAGACGAAGTCATCAGGGTCCACACTGAGAAGGCTTTGTCCTGCCAACCACTCAGGGTGGGCACAGGTGACATTCACAGCCTGCTGCAAATGGCTCTCAGTGAGCCACTGGGGCAGCCACTTCAACTGGCAATCACAAAGCAAGCTGCTTGTGTTCAGAACTCTGCAGAAACAAGGCAGAACAACGGGGTGAATAAAGTGCATTTCACGTTCCTACCTGTGATTTCATGCAGCAAAACAACTTAAAGCATGCACGTTCAGAACTGGCAAGATTTACAGTATTATTTTGCACCCGTGGGTATTATAAAATCTTAGCTATTTGTGACAGAAATAACTCCTCTGCATCAGCATTAAAACCTTAAATTTCTTTTTAATTCTGGAGAATATAACCTTGGAGTTTCAACTTCTAAAAAAAATACCCCAAAAACACTAAGCCTGTCTTTGCAATTATCTCATCCCTCTCCAAAGCAATTAAAAGAACAACACTGCAGAGCAGCTCCATGTCTCAAACTAAGCACACTTGCCATTATAAAATGAGTAGAAGCCTCAATTCTCATTTTCATGCCAGCTGATAAATATTTAAGAGCGATTTGTTTCATACAGGTATCAACTGCAGATCATTTTCTCTGCTCCACAGAAAAATTGCCAACGGGAAACAACGATGGCTCAACTTTTTCCCCACCACCAGCTTCCAAAGTTTCCTAAATATTATGTCTGAGTTACCACTGACTGGAGACCTGCCACAAGATGAATCCAGCAGTGGGAGAGGAGAGGCACCAGACAAGCCAGGATTCCACCCTGCTCTTTGCCTGCACATACCAATGATTCCTCACTTTTAAAATACATCAGAGAAGGCAAAGAAATCTTTAACACCTAAAATGTGTCTCCTCACACTGGCAGATCTTGCAGATTAAATCCATCTGGCTGAGACTAACTAATGGAATAACAGTTTTAGACCAGATTACACGATATTCACAGACTTTATCTCACAGAAGGGACTGTGTTACAGTAAGATTAGTCTCGGGTGTGAAGGTCACTTCACACTATAATACTTCAAATGTCTGAAGACCACAAGAGGCTCTAGCAGCTTAAATATCTGCTGAGCATGTAAAAAGTCTCGTGTAGCTGTGAATTTTAAAGCCTTTCCCTAGCCCCAAAAATAGGAAGTCAATATGTAGGGTTTGCTAACCCCTCTCAGAAACATTTCTGACCAATTATTTCTTTTGTTCCCTGCCCACGTGCAAGTGAGTGCTGCGAAATCATAAGACAGGAAAAACTTAATGGTTCAGCACTGGCAAAAAAAAAAAAAAATTATCTCCTCCTAATTGCAACTAAGGTGCAGATTTTATCAAACCTTAATCCTAAATATATTTGGGTTCATAATTTACCAGCATTGCTGCAAATATTTCACATTTGAACTTCAGACAACCCTACAATGGCTGAAGGATTCTTGTAAAAAAATCTCTAAATAATTGTCATGAACTTACAGCTCCTTCAGCTGAGCCTGGGCAAAGGCATTTTCTTGGATGGACATTACTGCATTGTTGCTTAGATCTCTGCAAGTTAAGCAAAATAATGGGTCAGTGTGATTTCATGTGGTACCTTCAGCTAAACTCTTAAAAATTTGACAGAGAATGGAAGACTGAAGTTGACAAATAATTACAAGTTCTCCAGTGTAAAGCACTTACAGATGTTCAAGCCCCTCCAGACCAGAGAATGCTTTTTTGGTAATGGACTTTATCTGGTTTCCTTGCAAGATTCTGAAAGACAAAGCCCCAGATCCCAGTCTGAATGTCAATATGAGTTCACAAACAGGACCCAAAAGAAGTTCCCCATAATGCTTAACTACAGTTTTTTCTATTTCTAGCTGAGCTAAAAGATTAAATGCTAGGTTTTTTTTAGCTTAAAGGCTCAACTAATTTTCCCACAAACAGGGTTTCATTTCTGTTTTTACATTAGAGACTTGAGTTAGAGATATGTCAGAAGATAATTTAAGTCAGGAGAATGAAACAGTGATAAGTAGAACCATCACATGAGCTCCTGGACTGCACCCTCACACCAGGCTATTTGTTACAAGCCATGTCTGTAGGTCCACAGGATGGAGCTTCCTACAAAGCACGTGGCACTGGATGAAAAGTGCATAGTCCAAGTACTGAAAAGTTGTTAATTCAATGGTGTTCCACATTTCCTCAAAAATGCTTTGTGGTTTGGGGTTGTTTTTTTGAAAAGCAGTAACTTTTAGCCAAACTAAAGAAGCACAGGAATTGATAATCATCACACAGAGGGAGGGAGCTATTCAGTAATAAATGAAGTCAAGTTCTTCTGCTTAATTTCTTCAAACTGGTGCTGCAATCCAACGTTCCTGAACGTGGAACCCAAGCTCATATCAGCAGGTTGTGGCACACAAGTGGAAACACAGGACAGCTGCCACTAAAAAAGGCTGTCTGTCTTGTCACTGATTTACAATTGCTTAGTATTTTGCTCTCCCTCTCCTCTGCATGCCTGGGAAGTGCTGTCATTCCCATGCTTTGTAATACATACAGTTTATCCAGCCTGCTGAGTCCCACAAATGCTTCATTTGCATCTTCTATGGCCCAGGAGATCTCGTTGTTCCTCAAGTCCCTGCAGGAGAGGAGCTGTCTTAGACAAGAAGCCTTGGAAAAGGCTGGAACTAAGCTTTTTTCTTAGAAAGAAGCCTTGGAACATCATCATGACCAGGCTTAGCAGTGAGCTGGGGAAGGGATTAGTGCTGTAGGGGCTGGGGACAGTGCTCTGGCACAGCATCCCCTGGAAGGTCTCAAATCTTTCACAAAACTAAGCTTGTCAGGAGATGAATATCCCACTTCAGAGGTGCAAGGGAAAACTGTTCCTGATCAGTGCTGCAGCCAGAACCACAAACAAATTCTGCAGTAGGACTTCTTGATGTGGTATTTAAGGAAAGCCCCAGTCTGACCAGCACTTGTCATGTGATGGAGTATTTGCCAGGAGCTGGGAGAGGCTCCTGAAGCAAGTTGGTTCATGTAAGGGAATTAAGCAATACACCAGCAGAATTAATCTTCCCCAGTAACAGGCTTATAACAGCATTAGCATATTAAGAGATTACACACAGGTTACAGTGTAGGGCTGCCAGGCACACAGGGGTGGATTTTCAGAATGAAGTTGATATTCTGTTCACAAATCTCGTTATCAGCTAATGGGATTTCTGATTGACCTCTGCACAGCACTTCAGCCCCTTATGGAGAAGAGAGGTCTAAACAGCAAAAGCAATAGAGCAATCTGGTTTGAAGAGGATTAAATGCTTTTTAGAGTGAAGAAGAAATAAATTCAGTTGCATTTTTAGCCCGAATGGGACAGACTGAGCCAAGAGCATGTTGTGATACCACCATGCACAGAAGTCCCTGCAGACAGGAGTGTTTAAAGGAAATCACACTAATAAGGAATAATCTGCACTGTGTTTCTATGCAACAGCTTGTGGAGCTTCCAAATGAGTCAGCTGACACAAAACTAGCTACATACACAGGCAACTGTGTATATCACTCATATAAACATCTTTTTCCCCTGTGCTAATAGGGGAAAAATGAAGTATCTACTTTCCCTTGGGTGAGACTGTGAACTGTGTAAAACCCCATCCTGGAAGAGACTTGGATTAACCTCCAGAACACCATCAGCAGTAACGTTATTTTCTTATAATTCTTTGAAATACGAAAGTCTTGGTCCTAACATCAGGCAGCAGCCATTTCCACAATTAATACATATGCACGTTAAATTTTAGGACAAAAATAAAAGGAATTCCATGTTTCATATGCATCACAAGGTCTGAAGAAATATGGCCTTGAAACTTGCTCACATTAAATATTTTCCTCTTTTAAAATTATTCAAGTTAAAGTACTTGACATGGATGTGATCTAATGAGAGTGACCAGATGAATAATATGCCAAATTTATTTCCACGTTGCTAATTTTTGTGATTTAAAAGCTTGTTTCCAGAATTATCTCGAGGTCTGCTTCAGAATGTTAGATGGTGAATGCTGGAGAACACAAATGCCAAGCTAATCACAGTATTATGGAGTAAATAATGGGGTAAGATGGAAAACTTCAGTGCTACTTTTTAGACACGCTTTTAATTCTACCTTGCAGTTAATATCAGTTTTACAGTTTATTCTCCAACACAGAGTGGCAAGGGCTGAACACAGAGAAATATTTACATCAGCCTCAGCCCTGAAACAACCAGCACACAACCAACAATGGGACTAATCCTGCAGCCACACGGTGTCTCCTGTTGTTTGAAGTATTTTTACACTCCACTACTCAGACCACTTAGCAAAACGAGCCAGCAACCCAAAAGAAAAGCCCCTCATTGTGTGAGCAGAGGAGCTGGCTCCTCATGCCTGGCTGGGCACGAATGCCTGGAGCCTTGTTAATCACCACTGCCCCCCGTGCTGCACATTCCAGCCCCAAAGGAAAGGGCCAGGCCCTGGGCTGTTGACGCCCCTGAGAGCCCAGGAAAACCTACTAATTAATCTGCTCTTGTTCTTTTTCATGCTGCTCTAAACCTAAGAAATTAGGTTTAATTATTTCATTAAAAGGTTGCATTAAGGTTAACAGAATATGACTGCTTACATAAATCTCTCTGGTGAGTTTGCTTATTTAAGCATTTATTTAATGAAGTGACAGAGGGGTTATAAACTTTCACTCCTTTCTCAAGTACCATTGTTTAGGATAATTACAACTGTTCAGATCTACTTGGGGCAGGATTGGGTCTCTTCAGAAATACCCAACAGCTGCAGCTGCTGTGAAAGGTCCTGGCAAGTGCAGAGCTGAGCCTGTGACAGCAAGAGGAACCCTACACCTCCTGTTAGTGTGTGACTCCAGCACACAGGCAGGGTGGCCTAAACCACACCTTCTACAACACAAAAGGCTTCACCACTTGGTTTCTGAGGTTCCAACCTTAACACAAAACCCTCTGGAACAAAGAGCTTCAGGCTATTTGCTCCACAAGTGGCATTTACCCAGGTTATCCACACCTCTCAGAACCACCGGGGCACATCTGGGCACTCAGGGTCACCAAGTCACTGTTTCTCACCACCACTAAAACTGAGTGGTTGGTTTGTTTTGGCTGGGCTGGAATTCTGTTATCTTGGCAAACCAAAAGATTATCAGCCCTGCCACACCTGCAGGCAGGACAGCCCAGCAGTGATCTCAGTGCAATACCCACTGTCTTTATTTCCAAAAGCTCCGCTGCCTTAAAGCAAAATTTCAATTCGATGTTTTTCTGTACTTACAAGGTTTGAAGATTTGTCAGGCCCCTAAAGACACCATCAGCAATGTGACTGATGTGATTGTCACCCAGGTTTAGCTTCTCCAACAAGCCAAGTCCCACAAAGGCAGATTCCTTGAGGCGAGTGAGCTGGTTGTACGACAAGTCCCTGGAAACACAGAGCACACGATTTAAAGGGGGGATTAATTATGAAGATACTATCTGACTTGATTAACTATTGTGTTTTGATTAATTTCTCTAACAGAACACTCATAAGTAAAATACACAGCACTTATCATGGGCCTGACAAGGAAATGGAGTGCTTCCTTTGGTAATTCCTTCTTGCCAATCTGTTATTGCAACATTCCAAAATCCCCAGTGAAAAGCAGCCCAGGACTTACAGCTCAGCAAGTCTTTGGCAGAATTCCCACGCATCTGGGCTGATCCTGGTGATGGCATTCTGGCTAACATAGAGCTGTTGCAATGTCCTCAGCCCATACAGCCAGCCCTTGTTTACTTCTGTTAAGTTATTATGTTCCAGTTCTCTAAGGAATTAGAAGGAAAAGCATTTGTCAAGTAGATAATCGATGAAACACCTATTTAGAAACTTTCACCTTGTGGGTCTCAAAATTATTTACTAGCATGGAGCATTAGAAAACACAAAATGCACAATTATATCCAGATTCCATTGAAAGCAAAATATTGAATTAAAGTATATGAAGAACTGAGTAACCCAACACCAGCTTCAGGGATCCAGTGGCAGAAACAAAACTGCAATCTCTGTTTTCAAAGGTAATTTCTTTTTTGCTAACACTGCATGGCACATCCTGGTGTTTGCTCTGTCAAAGTCACAGAGCAAAGCCCCAGGTCATGGGGACTGCAAATGAAAACCAGCAAAAAAGCAGCTACAGAGTCCAACCTTTGTGATCACCAAGTGGGAAGAGGCTGGGAAGAACACCAATATCATGGAATCACAGAATGGTTTGGGTTGGAAGGGACCTTAAAGATAAATCCAGTCCCACTCCCTGCCATGGGCAGGGATACCTGCCACTATCCCAGGCTGCTCCAAGCCCTGTCCAACCTGGCCTTGGACATTTCAGGGATGAGGAAATATATCTTTCCACCTCTGAAGCAAAAATATGACATTAAAATAATGCAAAAATACTCTTTTCCTATGATTTCTTCAATACCTCAGCACAGCCCTGATGTAAGGGAAGCCATTCAGGACAAACCCTCCAGAGTCAGACCCTTAAAGAAATTCCACAATTAGGCATACTCACAATTCCTCTATATTACCCAGGCCAAAGAATGCTCCATCCATTAGTCTGCTAATCCCATTGCGCTGCATTTTCAAGGATTTTAAGGATTCCAGCCCTTGGAATGTAAGGCTTTCCACTGTTTTAATCCGGTTCCTTTTCAGTTCCCTTTTATAAAGATGACATTCAAATATTAACACACCTTTCAACAGGCACCACTGTGAAATGGTAACGTGCTGAGATGAACAACACAGCTGTAAATGCTGGTTTTATGCTCTCGGGACTGTTACTCACAGAAACTGCACGTGAGGCAATTTGAAGATCTTTGGTGGAATCACACTAATCCTGTTCCTGTTCAGCTTTACCACCATCAGTGAGCTCGATAAGTTATCAAGGCAACCTGCTTCTAGAGTAGTTATCCTGTTGTTACTCAGATTCCTAGGGAAGGAAGGGGGAAAGAGGCCTTTCAGAACACAGGGAATTTTAGGAACACAATGGCACAAGCACCCCAGACAGGCCACTGGTTATGAGAACTTCAGATCCCTGTGAAGTCACGTCAGGAATCTGAATTCTGGGACACCAAATCCTTTTTTTCCAAAGGAATCAGTGCAAGGAGCTGGTTTTTACTGCATGCCTGTGCTTCAGTCAGACGTGGTTGAGACAGTGTCCCCAGTGATCTACTCAAACAGGGCAGAAATCACCCCCTGTCCCCGCTGGCTGCACTTTGACAACAGCAGTAGTTGTTTTCCATGTTATCTGGGAAAATGCCATATGGATTGGCACGAAAAATATTTTATTTCATGCACATTTATAGCTCCATGAAGCACTGCTACCAGTCCAAAGATATGCAAAGCCCCCCCTACTTTAAGATAGTAACTTCAGAGTAGTGAGGTGTCCAACACAATCATTGTAGAGCCAGGACTCCCTGGCACAACAGCTCCCTTGTACTTACAGGTACTTCAGTTGCATCCGTGGAAAAGAGGAGGCTTTAATTTCTGAGATAAGATTAGAACTAAGATCTAGATTTTCCAGTGAAAGGTAGACCTGGAGCTGCTCAGCATTTATTTCTGGAATGGTATTGTGCACCCTGAAAAAGATCAGCAACAAATGTGATTATCCAAACATCCTCCCAGTCATCCAGCTGAAACAGTCACAGGATTCTGTGTATCAACATGAGGGAGCCTCCCCAGTGGGACATGCACCACATGCTTCCAAAAGTGTTAGTTCCTAAAGCACTACTGCAAATCCCAGAGCTATTTGCCACCTTGACATATGAACAGATCCAAATTCTGAGGCCTGTAGCTGGGCTGTTCCTTGTGGGAACTGTCATTCCCAGACTGAATCCCTCCCCTTCAAAGCTGCCTGCCTTGGTTGACTGCATTTTATTGGTAATTTAGGGTGACTTGATTGTCCAACTGATTTGTATTTCTTTAAAGAGTGCTTACATGTTCCCTAAAGCCCTTCAGAGGAGCAGTATTTCAAGACAAAAGAAGATGTTTTCCTGCAATTTGATGGCAGAACTCTAAAACCATTCTCCCCTTTGTTAAAAGGCAGATGAGCTGTTACTTACAATGAGAGAAGAGTTATATTGGAAGTTGTTTCTCCAAAATACGGAATTTCACTCAGCTCATTGTAATTCATTTTCCTTAAAAAGAGATTAAAAAAAAAAAAATTACTGGCGCTTCAAAGAGAAGAAAAACCCTTCTGTACACAGCAGAAATAATTCATATCACAACACATTAAACAAGTTTATTACATTAATAACACTAAGTAGTTGACAAAAAAGATCACTAAAAGCTTAAATGCTAATAATTTGAACAATTTAACAGTAAAACATGCTAGTTTTTCCCATTTTCGTGGATATTATTACTTCTCTTTCATTTAAAATCAGCTATAGCCAAAACAATGTCTCATTTCTCTTTAAAATACTGGTCTTTTAATCTTTTATGAAAAACTTTTCTGCTCACAAAGCAGCAATTTTATACATAAAGTGTGCTGCCAACACAGAGCATCCATTTTTAATTAACTTGCACTGAATATTTCTACAAGTCAGATGAGGTATCTCTACATGCAATGAAATGTTCTAATTAGAATTAGGTAGGATATCTCTAGAGTTTATCCTCATAAAAGCCAACTTACACTTCTTGCAGTGTATGAACAGACAAATCAATGCTCCAGTTGGATGATAATAAATGATTATGACTTAAATCCCTAGAGAACAGAGAGAAAAGTTATTTAGCTCCTGGAATAAAATAAATTTAAAAAAAAAAAAAAAACAAACCATGTATGCTTTGTACAACACAATACATATTTATCACAGCTAGTTTTAAGCTTATCAGGCAGGCAGCAGCTATGCTGACACAGGAGAGAAAATCACCCCTTACCACCAGAACTACCATGTACCTATTAAAATGAATATTAAAATGTAGCTGAGAATATTTAAAACTATTTCCATTGACAACCAGGCTTGGCAGCCACAGCACCCACACACTCCTCTGCTGCTGCAATAGCTTTGACTCCAAATACACCGAGGGCCAAACCTGATCCCACAAGGATCACCAAGCCCAACTCCTGGCCCTGCACAGGACAATCCCAAAATCCCACCATGTGCCTCAGAGCGTTGTCCAAACATCCCTTGAGCTCTGGTAGGCTCCTTTTGATCTGTAAGACCAAAACTTATTAGGAGAGAGCAAGGACTTGACACCTGACAGACTATTTGTTGTTAACTTCCCCTCAGGTTCAGCTTAAAGATTCCGTTCTAGCCATGAATTATTAAAATCCTGGGTGTCATGGCAAGTCAGGCAGTTGTTAATGTACTCTTTTAATTACATCGAGATGCAAATTACAGAGATAGAGCAGCAAGCAGGTTGGCAAACAATTATTCATTCCTACAATTAAAAAAAATAATAATCAAGAGAACCTGGAGAAGAGAACAACTGCAGCCACCGAACGCTGCTCTGCAGGCTGGCTCCCTGGCACATGTGGTAATTAAGCCAATCCTGGCTCCCTGGCACATGTGGTAATTAAGCCAATCCTAAGTGCCAGACACACAAAAACAACGGAGTGTGAGCTGCTCCTGAGCAGCCTTCCCTCCTCAGGGATGCTGAGTGCTCAGGACACCCTCCTGGGATGCCTGGATTGCCCAAAGCCCAGCTCAGCCCCCGGGCACCCTCAGGAGCCCTTGGTGGAGGGAGTGCTGATCCCAAATCCCAGCAGCTGAGCCTTTCCTGGAGGATGTTGCAAACATGCAGGCACCCAGCCAGGGCTGAGGAGCCTAATCCTGGAGCAGTGGGTTTAACCAGAGCGGGCAGTACCAAGCCATGGGCTGTTCCCAAAGGATTTGAGCACAGCCCATGGAGGAAGGACGAGACAATGGACATGGAAGGTAACAACACACCCCTGGAGGTGAGCAGATGCTCCACTGATGAGCAAAACCATGCCAGGGGTGCTGAGCCAGACCAACCTGTGTGTCAGGCACGGCCAGCGGGCACTGACAAAGATCTGGGGAGTCAGATTAGTATACAGAGAAAACTGAACCTGGATTTTTCCAAGGCTTCCAGGGAGAACATCACAGAATATTTCAGCTGGAGGTGACCTACAACAATCCTCTAGTCCAGCTGCCTGACCACTTCAGGGCTGGCCAAAAGTTAAAGCAAGTTATTCAGGACACTGCCCAAATGCCTCCAAAACACTGACAGCCATGAGGACCTGCTAACAAAAGCCTACTGTCTGATTATCAAATTAGAAATTAAGATTTTAATTTAGAAAATGCCCAGAAAAATATTTTTCTAGCATTAGTCAAATCTGGACTACAACAAAGTTTTCATTGCAGTAAGTCCTCTTTCAAGAAGTTGGGTATTGCTCATATTTAAACCAGTTCTGACATTATTTATATCTGATATATATCTGATATATTTATATATATATGTGATATATTTATATCATATTATATATATATATAATTTAATGTTTTTTTACTGATGCTTTTATTTTTCAAACAGACCAACTGATCACTAAATACAGAGTGAAATTCACTGGCTGATTTTCTGTGTTTAGAGACCATTCAATCACACAGCTAAGATTCCTGTTATCCTGCAGAACCAGATGCAATTCCCTTGCTCTTGAAATGCCAAAATGGAAGAACCCATCATTTTATCAGCCCTTGCACTGGAACTGGGAGGCCCAGGCTGTGCAGGAGCCAGAGCAAACACGCAAAATTTGTATTTTAGAAGATTCATCTGGTATTGTGTATAACATATCTAAACATTCATTTTGAACTGAAGTGGTTTTCATCTCCTAAGTAAATAAAACAGAATATACACACCAAACTGATTATGGGTGATGGAGAACGACCTTAACTCAGCCCAGCTGAGCTGTGGCACTGTGCTGGTACAGGTGTCAATGCAGGGAGTCATTTGAGCTCACCCAAAAAAACCTGCTGTGAATGGAACTTGCTGAACTAATTAAGTGATACCTAATCTACTTTTATTCATCATCTCTCTAGTTACCAGGATATATAAACACACTTGGACTGGAGGCAGCGACCACCAGCATCGTGCTTCCCTTTCCCCCTTCACACACCCACCCTTCAAACAGGGCTAGAATTCCTTGTTCTAAAGAATCTAATGTGTTAAGATGCAGACATATAAAAAAATATTTCCTAACTCCTAGACTTCCCTACCCTTTTCATCACCTGCCAAGTAATCCACAAAACATACATCTTCACAGGAAAAATGAAGTTACAGATGCCTGCATACTTCCATCGTGAAAATAAGTTCCAAAAGTGCTCTCCTGGCCTTATTAAAAACAAAACCCTAAGAGAAAACCAACACCCCCACACAATGGAAGAATCACCTGCAAGTAGTTTTGAAAGAGTTAGGAAAAAGAATTTTTTCTCCTCAAAGCCAGGTGAAGTGATATCATAGAACTAAGAGAAAAGCAGATCAGAGACTTCATCATGTGAGAAAAATTAGGCTTTGATTAATTTTAAACAGCTGGAAAGCATTATAGCTCGTTTAGATTGAGAACTGCCAGAGCAGTCCTAGTGAAGAAAAGACGTCACCCACACTTCATGTGCCAAAATCCTGAAAGCCACAACAGAGACAGATACAGAATGGATGGAGAGCAGCCCTAAGGAGAAGGACTTGGGGGTGTTGGTGGATGAGAACCTCAAGAGGACCCAGAAATGTGTGTCTGCAGCCCAGAAACCTCCCCCGTGTGCTGGGCTGACCCCACAGCATGGGCAGCAGGGGAGGGGGGATTCTGCCCCTCTGCCCAGCTCGGGTGAGACCCCACCTGCAGAGCTGCCTCCAGCCCTGGGAACAACATCACAAGGACATGGAGCTGTTGGAGTGAGTCCAGAGATGCCATGGAGATGTTCCAAGGGCTGGAGCCCCTCTGCTCTGGAGCCAGGCTGGGAGAGCTGGGGGTGTTCACCTGGAGAAGGGAAGGCTCCAGGGAGACCTCAGAGCCCCTTCCAGGGCCTGAAGGTGCTCAAGGAGAGCTGAAGAGGGACTTGGGACAAGGGATGGAGGGACAGGACAAGGAGGAATGGCTTCCCACTGCCAGAGGTCAGGGTTAGATGGGATATTGGGAAGAAATCCTTGGCTATGAGGGTGGGGAGGCCCTGGCACAGGTTGCCCAGAGAAGCTGTGGCTGCCCCATCCCTGGAAGTGTCCAAGGCCAGGTTGGACAGGGCTTGGAGCAACCTGGGCTAGTGGAAGGTGTCCCTGCCCATGGCAGGGGTGGAATGAGATGAGCTTTAATGTCCCTTCCAACCCAAACCAGTCTCATACCCTTAGTGTTTGCAGCACCTCAGATTGCACAACACAGCACGGTGCCAGCCCCGCTTCTTCCCACCACACAAGTTGTGCCAAGCAGCTTCAAACACACCCTCCATCAGCTTGGAGAAAGATACAAGTATTTGTTGAAGCTTGAAAACTTGCTCTTCAAACAACATGGATATCATTTTGCTTATTAGCCTCCTGATGAACTGCCAACTCCCTTCTCCAGGTGCTGACACCCTCCCTGACAAGTTACAATATCCTTGTGCCTCTCTAAACATGAAAGGTTGCACATACAAGTTGTATTTCTATGCTGAAATGCACATTTTTTCCCTAAACATTTCCACTGGCTGATTGTGCAGGGAAAGGAGAGAACCACAAAAGAGCCAGAAGGTGACAAACTTCCTTGGACATGTCTAGTTTTTGACACGCATCAGGCTCTTGAGTCCTGCTAGTGGAATTCCTGGAGTTAACTGAACAGTGGTTTGTGTGTTTATAGTACCTGCCCAACAGGTTTAATTTTCTCTTGGTCTGGAATAATGCCATTCCTATCAACTGGGAAACACAATCACTCCAGGAGGGACAGAGAATTCTGTGCACAGAAGCAGGTTTTGATATCCCTCATATTCCAGCACCTCTTCCACCTGAGTATGTTGTAGCCAAAGGTGACAAAAGCAACCGTGACTGTGACAGCAACAGTCAAGGAAGGACAAAGGCTTGACCTGTGTGAACACTATTTAGCACACTGTCTAATTAAACACTTGGGAGCAGAGACTACCGATGGCTCTTAATTGCTCTGTGGGATTTCTTTGGAATAACAATGGCAAATGTCAAGGAGAGTCCACAAAGGTTTAACGGAGGGGAAAGGAGGGAGTCCCTGAGCTGCAAAGGGATGCAGAGGAGACCAGGAGCAGCAGGAGGTGCTGAGGTCGGGGTGGAAGGAACACTTCCAAGCACAATCCTAAGGGACTGTGTCCTACAGCCTGACCTGAGACAACGTTGAGCCCTGACCTGACTGGCATCACCTACAGCCTTCCCAACCACAACTTGCTTCTGCTCCACACTCCTCTGCCACAGAGCAGGGCAAGGCCAGCGTGAAGCTGCTCCCTGCGACCCCGGCACATGGAGCCTTGAGGGGCAGACCCTCTTTCTCTCCACAGCTCCACTCCAGCCTTTCACTCTTAAGGAATCACAGAACATTCCGAGTTGGAAGGGACCCACGAGGACCCTCGACGCTTCTCCCCGTGAGCCACGACCCAGAGCCGGGGCCGCCCTGCCCTCGGCGCTCCGGGCTCTGAACCCGATCTTATCACCCCGCGGGCAGAACCACAGAACCAATTAGCTGGGAAAAGACCTCTGAGACCATCGAGTCCACCCTGTGCCCGATGCCCACCTTGTCCCCCAGCCCAAAGCACTGAGTGCCA